AGTAGGTAATATGTTTTTTGCTCTTGCATAAAGAGTACATTATGAGAAGGACACAACTCGCTGCTGGTTAACTCCTCAGAAAATCAGGAGGGATTGATTTACCTAGTCCAATTAATAAATTTATCTAAGATGAAAGAGGTGACAACATCATGCTTCCTTCTATCTGACAGATGTTCTGAGAGTAGCTTCAGGTGAGAAGAAATTGTATGTTTCTTGTGTCCTAGTCTTCCTACCAGTGTGCATGATTTATCTTTGAAAATACAGGAATGCATAGAACGAACTAACATATAGGAAATAAAGTTCCCTCATCATGACCTGACATTATCAAATACATGTTGATCCATCAGTTTTAGGGATTAGCAAAGCACTATCAAATATATGACAGCATGTGAATTTAGTTTCAGCCTTCGAGAATATAGGTTAGCAAGCACGATTCAGAGTTCATGTTCTGCTCTTACTAACATGAGTTCAGATATCATAGCAGCTTCGAAGTTCAGGTTGTCAAATCCAATAAACAATGCAGAGTTCATGTCTGCTCTTACTAACATGGGTTAAGAGATCATAGCAGCTTATGATTGGCGTTAATGTCTGCTTTGAATAATAACTGACAAAGTTATCTAATCTAGATATTCTTGGTTGTGGTCAGAGTTGTCGACTCTGTCCCATCGGTATATAGCTAGCTTATCTTGGTATTTCCATTTACTTGTATATGGCATTATTGTCATTGGCTTATTTTATTATTGTTTATTTTTTGTTCCCCTTCCATGGTGTGTAGCTCCTACTACACCATGGGTTACTATAATCCTACATAACGCACATTGGGGAAAAATATAAGCTGTCTAGATCTTTGGTTATGTCTACAACCATATTTTAGGTCTGTACCTCACTAAATTTCACCAGGCAAAAAAGGATTGAGTTCACCATATTTCAGGTCTATAAGCTGTGCCTTCCCTATTTCAGAACAGATCATGAAAAGCATGGAAGATCACAGCATTACTTACTCTGTTGTGTGGCACGTCTCTGTCTTGGGGCCGCACGCCGTCGTCGCGGCACCCACTCCACGCTGCCGCCGCCTCCGCCTCCCTCAACTCCGCATCCCCTTCACCACGGCAGGGATCCGACGGGGGCGGGGCCTGAGGGTGGCGCGGGCGGGCGATCTGGTCGGGGCCGACGGTGGAGAGCCTGTAGTAGCGACTACCGTGGAGGATATGGTCGGGGCGGGCGGACGATCTTGCGGGCGACGTGCAGAGCAGACGGACGACTGCGGACGGTACACACCGAAGCTGCGCCTTCTCCTGATAGATGATTGTATCCTTCGCCGCGCCGTCTGGACGTCGCGCCGCCTCCGCCGTCGGGACCCCACGCCGCCTCTGCAACCGTGACGCCGCTCTACCGAGCAGGTGGCCTCGCGGGGTAGACGGCGCCCGCCTTCTCCGGATGCCGGTAGCTGCCGCGCCTCGCCACCGTCGCCCCGTGTCGTGAAGAAGAGCCGTGCCTCGCCGCCTTGTCCTTGCTTCCGACGGCGACGCTCGGAGTCGTGGGGAGTTGCCGAGGTGTTTTTTTGCACAGGAGGATTGGTCGTGGCGAGGGGGAGGGAAACTAAGGGGTGTTTGGTTCCTCCTCCTAAACTTTAGTCGCTGTCACATCGGATGTTTAGATACATGCATGAAGTATTAAATATAGACTAATTATGAAACTAATTGCACAGTTTGTGACTAATTAAGCCTAATTATTCCATGATTTGACAATATGGTGCTACAATAAACATATGCTAATGATGGATTAATTAGGCTTAATAAATTCATCTCGTGGATTACTGACGGATTCTGTAATTTATTTTTTTTATTAGTATCCGAACACCCCATGCGATACTCTCATGTGACACCTCCTAAATTTTAGTCACCAGATCCAAACACCCCCTAATTGCTAGCATGTATTGAGGCTGTTTGTCCGGGGAGCGTGCCGCAACAAGCGCCAGGGGAAGCGAGCGAGTGAGCGGGATTGATTGGCCGGTTCCACCGTGCGTCCGGGTCCACACCACGAGGGGACATGCACGTGAGCGCCGCGGGATTGGAGGCAGACTGTGCGGAGGATTTCTTTTGACCGGGATGCAAATTGTGCGGAGGGGTTTTTTTTTACCGCGCGGATTGTCTGTCGGGTACACCATCGCGGTGGGTGTGTTTCGTCTGCCGGTGAACGATTGGTCTGTAAATTTTTTAGCTGTACAGAGGAGAAGAGAAGAGATAGAGGCCCCATTCGCTTGAATTTATCAGCCGTACCGTTTCAATGAAATAACAGTGTTTTTATCTGCATCAGCATCCGCCGTTTTTCCAGCCAGCCGAACAGAGCGAGATAGGCTGGCAGGAAAGGAAGACGCGTAATAATAGCATAATGCACGTAACGTGCCACAGATCAGTACACTGCAGTATCCCGAATTTCCCCTAAACCTACAATAATCCAATTCCTAACACATTGCACTGAGCTTGCTGCTGGCCTTAAACATGCTGCAAAATGAAATTTCCACATGCCCCTATGACCACATTGGTGCTTACCACTTTTTCTAAAACATGCTGTTGTGTTTGAGAGCATGGCTTTGAAGTCCATGGCCAACGTCATCTGAAAGAACAATATTACCTAAAATAAAATCAGTCTGTACGGTAACATAGATATGCAATATGCCCGGCTACAATTTACAAATCAATCATTAGGAAATATAAGGGACAGTAATTGTGCTGCGAAATGGGCATAGTGTGGACGAACGACATGCAAACCTGGGACTTTGGACAACTGCAGGTCGAGGACGGCGTCTTGGTGACCCTCGAGGCCGCACGCCGGCTGCTCGGTGAGGGCAAGCGCGGACATGTTAGCAAGAGCAGCGAGAAGAAGCAGGGGAGCTGCTGACAGGACGTTGGCAACAGACTTGCTCTGTCCCCTCTTCACCATGCATCATGGACAACTTCAGTGCCGACCTGAGAGCAAGGCCATTATTCGTCCTATTCGCTTGGCTTATAAGTCATATTTTTCAGTTCAACGAATAATATTTTTCTCTTATAATAAATCAGTCAACAACACTTTCAACCATTATTTATCAGCCAAACGAACAGGACAATTTATTTTCAGTAATGGACAACTGCACGCACTCCCTAGCACACGCAGCATCTGGTGCCGCACGCCACCGTCGAGCTATATTTTTCAGTTCGTGTGTAGTTATGAATTTACTTCCCATGTGTACGTATCTCTAGCAGATTCACGTACGAAATCTGCCCCAGCCCTATAAATACCGCCGTGCAATTCATCATGCAAATAAAGCCAGAATTCGATCTTGCGCAGCTTTTACGACCCCCAACAACTCGACCTCGATCATAGATCTTCTTAAGAGATACACAGCTCGATTTTTTTTATCGGATACAACTTTAATACAACTTTGGACGCACATAACTCACGCACACCACACTCATACCACACGCGCACACACACGTACGTGTCCGCACTCACGCAAAGAAGAGAGGTGTAATACGACGTCATCCAACTCCAGCATGAAGTGCTATGACGTCATGCATGGGGCACCTGATGACTATCCATGTAACTTATAACTTACTATGAGATAATAATTAAAAATAATTTGGGCCATTAATTTATTGGATTTTATAAATAAAATAAATAAATAAATAAATACCAAATAAAAGAATGAAAAATTTGTCAAAATCCCATAACCACCGACCGAGAAGGGGACCCTTCCGTCCGGGATTTTACTCAGGAGCAAACCTTTCCTTTATTTTGTTTGTGCGTGGTGCACAACGCACCATGTGCAGCAGCAACCCAAGGCATAAGAACCGATCGTCTTTTTTATCTGGGTCGGTCTATTTACGTATGGAAAAAGTTACTGTATATATTCTAATTTATTTTAGACAAATTATTAATTACATGTGAAAAAAGTCATGTTTCACAATCAATTAAAAAATGTGTTACATTACAACATGAAAAGGATCGGTCGTAGCTAACACATTAATTGAGTCTTGAATTTTGGTGGTCTAAAATATGTAACACACTAACACATTATGTAGTCATATGTACTCAAATGTACCTTATGCTAACTCGATTAAAACTGTGTTATATAATTAAAAGGACCTTCTAAGCTAAAATATGTTGCATGTCAGCTAATGGTCGCTGGGAACCAAACACGCCACAACATGTATCTGCCACGTACAGGGCAACAAATCATGCCATGTCCAAAGTTGTAAATACAAAGATTTACCATATCAAACAGATCATACATGCATCAATTAGATTTAGAAATAAATAAAGATCTCTATATCTAAAACTACCTTTAACTATCCTATTTTATTATACCAAACTAAAAATGCAATCCATCAAAGCCGGGAAATCGATCTTCTTGCACTACTAGAAAACAAACATTTTACCCACTTCGATTTTAGCCTTTAGTCTCGATATTTTTTGCGTTCGGGACTAAAGGACTTTTAGTCCCGGTTCGTAATACCAACTGGGACTAAAAGTCATCTTTAGTCCCGGTTGGTGTCACCAACCCGGAGTAAAAGTTCATCAACTTTTAGTCCCGGTTGGTAACACCAACCGGGACTAAAGGGTGACCTTTTAATCCCGGTTGGTGTCTTCAACCGGGACTAAAGGTCTTTTACCCGGGACTAAAGGTCTCCCACGAGTCTATTCAAAAGGAGAGCGCACATGACTCTGTCACAAGTGGTGTGCAGTTAAGTTGGTAATGTACCTACGCGCGAGGAGAGAGGTGTTGGGTTCGAATCTCACGTAGAGCAAGCGAGGTCTCGAGGATTTCCTTTATTTTTTTCTTCCGTGGGTGACCTTTAGTCCCGGTTTCTAGACCCGGGTCCCGAAAATTTAGTCCCGATTGGAAAAAATCGGGACTAAAGGGCCTTCCTAACCGGGACTAAAACATGTTTCTTTAGTAGTGTTGATATATATAGATAATACACAGCTCGACACATACCCCGATCGATCGATCCAGCATGAAGTTCTACGACGTCATGGTGCACGTGATGGCTATCTCGTCGGTTGTTATTATGCTCCAGCATGCAGCGGTAGCGCAATGTAAGTCTAGCTACAATCGGGGTAAATAGATAGGTCTACTAGCTAGTTAGGGTCTTTTCAGTCATCTGGTCCTTGTTTTCTATTATTGTTACTTGTTCCAAATTTTAAAGTCATTTTAACTTTGTAATGGGAGGGAATATTTGTCCCACTTAGTTTGAAGATGAACGGCAAGTCAGACGGCGTACCCTCCTGTTGCTGTTGGTTTTGTTCAAACCAAAGCAAAACTAAATATAGATTGAGTAATTAACTTCAGGTGTCACCAAGTTTTATGCATGGGTGATTGATTTTGCGCAAAGACCCGCACAGGATCTGCTAGAGACAGCAGCGATCAAGTGCTAATCCTCACGGCGTTGTTTGTGGACTCCCGTCCGGCGGCGCCGTCGGGAGGAAAAGGCGACCCTGGGTTAGACCCTAGGGGATAAGATCGGCTTTTCTTGTGAACGATGTAACTATCTTGATTGAATAAAGTCTGTCGTATTGTTCAAAAAAAAGTTTTATGCATGGGCGCATGGCCCAAGTATCACAATACGATTAATTTGACATGCTGGACCTTTTTCTATGTCTAGATCAGTATCCAATCGACATGCATGCATGCGTAATATAATATTTATGGACGGTAAAATTTAATTAACACATACGATGCTCATATGTCTATGATAATTTTATATATTTATTATTATGTGAAGTGTTAATGACCTTAATATATTGTATCAGGTCGTTATCAGTTACAACAGGCTTCCCTTACCACAAGAAGTGATAATTCTACAGCGGTCGATATCACAACGACATTACATGGGAACGAGGTCTTGTTGATATTTTGCCGCGCGACAAAGTGCGGTCCAGCTTTCAAATGGATGACTGCTATTGCTGCACGATGAAAAAAGGGGTACAAGAGGTGTGCTATGACACCATGGAGAAATGCGGGGCTAACTGCCCCGTATGCAACCCAAAGTGCCTACCACCGTAGTTGTCCCGTACCAAACGGAAGGAGGGTTGTCATAACACATTATATATATGTAAAAATAAAAAGGTTCAACTCGTGATTTCGATCTGGACCCAAATTTGTGGCAGCTCAGTTTATTTTGTTCTACTACAGAGTATATATTTTTCTGGAAGTTCCATCTTAATTAGGCCCAAATGTGTGTGTTTTCCCGTCATGACAAGCAATAATTAATTAATATATACTAGGTGAATGTCTATGCGTTGCAACGAGAAAACATAATACGACGATAACATATGTATTAGTGTATGTTATATTGTTACCTATACAATCATGATGTTTGGAACATCTATTACGAGTCTTCGTGAAGGATAGATAATTAAAATACAACTCCGAATTTTGATGTGAAACTGAAACAAACAAGGTCATATGGTAAGAACCTATGTGAAACTAAAAACCTAGCTATTGTCTACTATACACCAAAGATAAGTTTGCACTTCTTTAGAAATTGAAAATTTTCTAGAATTTCCTTTGTATCACAACAATTAATTTGACATGCCGGACCTTTTTCTATGCCTAGATCAGTATCCGACATACATGCGTGCGTAATATAACATCTATGGACTATAAAATTAAGCCTAAATTTTTTTTCCTTGTGAAACACGTCAAATTTGACACAAATGCTCATATGTCTTAACATATGATAATTTTTATATATTTTGTAATGTGAAATGTTGATGACCTTCATATATTGCACCACGTCGTTATCAGTTACAACATGCTGCACTTACTACAACAAGCGATAATTCTAGATCGGTCGACTTCACGACGACATTACATGAGAACAAAATTGTGTTGGTATTTTGCCATGCGACAAAGTGTGGTAAACCTTTGACTTGGACAGACTGCTAGTGTTGCATGAATATAAAAGGCCAGAAGAAGAAGAGTTGCGTTATAACACAAACACAATGGATAAATGCAGGGCTAATTGCCCCATATGCAACCCAAAGTGCCCACCGTAGTTGTCCCACTAAATGGTGAACAAGGATTGTCGTCAACAATGGTGAGAAATAATATGAACTGTACATTATATACAAATAAAAGGTTCGATTTGTGATTTTCAATTCATCGGTACCGGCTAATGTGATGATGCACTGGTGATTGGCGGAACCAGGGGGCAGGCACAGTAGACTCCATATAATACCTATACAAATATTGGAATTTATAGCACAAAAAATATCAATTTTCACTCATTTTGTATTATAATATTATGGTTTTGGTTATAAACAGTGTAAAAGATTTTAAAAAGTTGTTGAAACATATAATAATGTATATTTTATCACACTAAAAAATACGATCATATTTGTGTGACCCCTTAATCAAAATTGATGGTTCCGCCTCTGGCACTGATGACATAATATAGAATTATTGAAGTGACACACGTCCATTGATCGACAACTAATATAGGTTTTATTTGTTGGTTTAATTTTCCTCGGCTAAGTGTTCACTAGCTATTTGTTTGTTTTTTGTTGTCATAGTGTCATTTGAATAATTTTGGAGTCCTCAAATGTCATGCACTGTATTTCTATAATAAAAAAATCAAGATTTCCTCGTGGCACCATAAGTAAACAGTGGCCAACCTAATTTCATTCCTATTTTCGTGCATGGGAATGTGCCCTATGCACCGTAGGAGAGAGATAGAGGCAGAGATATCTCTATGCCAAGTTTCCAAGTCAACGTGGCTGGGTCTCGGCGCCGAAGGAGGAGAGCTGCTCATCTACAGCATAGTCTTGGGATATATAGGACGCGTTTGGCCGGGCTCCCGTCGGCTCTGGTTCCCACACTGTAGCGCAACTGTAGCGCGCATGAGCTGGAGCCGGAGGAGAAAAAAAACGAGCTTCTCCGGCTCCGGCGCTGTCAGTGAGAGAGGAAAGGAGGAGAGAGAAAAACGGCTCTGATGAACAGTGTCGCTATAGGAGATGAACAGGGGAGGAGTCAGAGGAGCCCGAGCCACTCGGAGGCCGGCCAAACGGGCTCATAGTACTCCAGTAGGGAGGTAGGGTGAAGACAACTGTCCCCAGTACTCCAGGGTTTTTTTTTTCAGCGCCACCTCGTATGTTAGTTGTTTGTCAAAATAGCTTCTTCTAGTAGGCAAAAATGACAAAATGTCTAAAATAACTTTATCTTGTCTTATCCTCCTCTCCTATTTCTCTGACCTCTTTCCTTCTTCGTCCCAACGCATCTCTTTGCACCACGACGATTGGGCTAAGCTCATGCGTGCCAACAGACACGCCCATGCCAACAATGCGGTCCAGCGAGTGAGGTCCGACGGCAGCGCGGCTCGGTGGCCGAGCCTTAGTGGCAGCACTCGCCCACGGCCCAGTGTATGTAGCCCAGCGGTACTGCTTGCCCGAACCTTAGTGGTCGTGCCTCGGCATCCGTGGCCCGTGGCGGCGCTTGCGTCCGCTGGGTCCGCGCTCGTGCGTGCCCCTACCCTGGCCCACGTGGGACCTGCCCCCACGGTGCCTCCTCGCCTTCCCGCCACACATCCCCCACTCGCCTCTCACCGTCGCAACAGAAACAATCGCTTGTCGCTGTCGACCCAAGCCACGCCACCGACATGTGGGACCATACCGCAGGTCCCACTCGGCAGAGACTCCGGCGGTCCTTCGAGACAGCGAACGGCTCCCCGGTCACCGCGCGCGTCTCCTTCTCCTTCGTCGGCAGGCACAACACGACTCCCAGTGCCCAGGTACACTCTCCGGCTCGACTCGAGCGCGCGAGCGATGAGGGCTCTCGCCTCGCCCGCCGCCTCCTTCCTCCCGGGGATCCCGAGCCCTAGCCCTCGCGCGCGCGCGCCTCCCCGTTCCGCGGCGGCCGCTCTCTCGCGGGCCCCTTCCGGTCGGCGCTCCGTCACCGCCGCCGCCGCGGCCGCCACCGGGGACCACTGGGGCGCCGACCACCAGCACTACCACGGAGGACGCGCGGGCGCGTCGGAGGCCGGGCCCACCGGGTCGGCGCGCGGCGTCAAGTGCGACGTGGACGTGGTGTCGTGGCGGGAGCGGCGGGTGCTCGCGTCCGTGCCCGTGGCCGCCGACGCCGACACCCTGTGGCAGGTCATCACCGACTACGAGCGCCTCGCCGACTTCATCCCCAACCTCGTCCAGAGGTCCGCATTTTCTTGTCTCGATTTCTCGCGTCTGAACTGTGATTGCACTGATGGTGGGGACTTCCGAAGGTGTCTGATTCGGGTCGTTTTGTTCGTGCTTGCTTGCAGTGGGACGATTCCGTGCCCGCATGAAGGGCGGATATGGCTGGAGCAGAGAGGCCTGCAGCAAGCGTTGTACTGGCACATTGAGGCGCGCGTCGTGTTGGATCTCCAGGAAATCCATGACTCCGTACGTGCTGTCGCAGATTGACTTCCATTAACTGCTAAATTGCAATGGAACAGTTTTGGAGTATCCAACATTTGACATCGCCGACAATGTTATGTCATTATGTGAAATGCCACTGAAAAGTACTAGTGGATGATCAGTTGGCCAGTCCATGTGTCGGTGTTTCGGACCGGGGGTCCTCAACCAACCAGTAAATGTGAACTGCGTGCCCCTAATCCCGGATGGTGATGCAAAGAGACACAAAGTTTATACTGGTTCAGGCAATCGGCGCCCTACGTCCAGTCTAGGAGATCGATCTTGTATTCTCTCGCACCAAGTGCTTGTAGTAGGGGTTTACAAAATTTGGGTGAGAGAGGAGCTAGTCCCAGTCTCGGCGTGGTATGGTGCGGGCTGCTTGAGTCGTTGCTCTCAGGCAGCGTGGGAGCGCGCGTGAATTGAGTGAGTGCGTTTTTGCGTGAGGGCTGGCGTGGTTTTCGATCCTAAAAACGGCCCCGGCTGTTTCCTTTTATAGCCACAAGGAGGGAGCCGTGGAGTACATGAGAGAGCTACGTGGAGCCTTAGCGAGGAAGGAAGATCCATGATTGTGGCCTATTCACGTAGCAAAGCCGCGATTGTCGGGAATGGCAATTGGTACTTGATCACCGATCGCCACGCAGCCATGCCCGAGGTTTGTTGAAGTCGTAAGAGTCCTTGTTGACGTCTAGTCGGTATGGCCTCCACCGTAGGTGACATGTCGTGCTCTGGTGGACTCTTGTCCCGGTGGAGTGCCGAGGAGGCCTAGCGGTCTTTGGAGCTGATCGTCCGAGGCCTTCTTTGCCGAGGCCTCGGAAGTGACACATGTCGACGCAGGGTCTCGGTGGTCTGTCGTCGCACCGATTCCGGTGAAAAAGTGCGGAATGGGCGTCCGCAGGAGCCGTAGTCTCGCACCCGTCGATGGGGATGGTAAAAGGTGATTTGACCGCCGTCCCATCGCCTTTTTGCCATACCACCGCCAATCGTGGGTGACGTAGGCGTAACTAGGGATACTTACACGGATGGGACGGCCCGCGGAGGGGCAATTGAGGCGGAGGCGGCGAGAATGCGGGACGAGCCCGGCCTCGGCCGAGCGGAGAAGGAAGGCGCGTCAGAGGCCTTGCCGGGGGTCTCGACGAGGCGAGACCGGCAGTGGGCTCTCCCGCTTTTTCCGAGGCTCTGAGGACATGGACTCGACCTTCCATGCCGCTTTGTCCTTGGCGCAGGGTTAGGTAGCACAGGCGATATAAGTGTCGAGGGGAACACAGCAGTGGTGAGTATAGTGGCGAGTAACCCCTACTGTGCCCGGTCCCCCGCCCCTGTCGGTTATTACGCCTGCCCTTTACACTGCGTCTGGTGACGTTCTTGGGAGTGGTTGGGTGCATTTAATCCGGACGTGACGTTTTGCGGGAGTTTGATCGGGACGACGGAGGTTACGAGTATCGTCCGCCGAGCCCGACCTCGGCGAATCGGAGAGAATGGAGATCCGTCCAGAGGCCTTTGGGGCGAGGCTTTGGCGAGAGGTCTCGGC